AGTGGCAGCAGTGATGGGCTCAGGTTTAGCAACGATTGAAAGGTTAGGTTGACCCAGGGACTGGGCAGTGTTTCATTCTGTGGTGCATAGGATTGCTATGAGTCAGTATTGACATACTAGAGTTCTGGTGTGGCACTGTTGGACAAGCACTGGACCACAGGGTCAGTTTGAACTGCAAGGTTGATGGCTAAAACTTGCCAATTGCTCCTCAGAAACCCTATACAGGGTCGCTATGTGTTGGAACAGACTTGCTAGCACTTCACAACAACAGGGAACAAAGGTAACTGAGGAGTCCTGGTGTGGCAATGTAGGATAAGCACCAGACTGTTAAGTCACAACTGACTCGGCAGCACTCAGCCACAACAGGTAACTAAAACACACCCCAACAATCCGTTTCTACCAAAAGCCCTGGTGGCACAATGATTAAGCACTCAGCTGTAACTGAAGCTTTGGCAGTTTGAGCCCATCCAGAAAGGCCTAGAGATCTGCCTCAGTAAAGACCACAGTCAAGAATGCCTGACGTGGCAGTTGGACTCTATCACATATGGTTGCTATGAGTTCAAATCTGCTCAATGACACTCAACAACATGAGCACTGTTATTTTCCCAAATTTTGTTTCGTTTTCCTGAAAGACAATTATACCTCCTAAAACGTTCTTGTTTCTGCATCTGCTTGCTTATGAATCATCTCCCTATCCTGACCCCATCCTGATTCCCACCCTCCTGCCTCAGAACACAAACTTTTCAATCTGTCTTGTCCGCCACTGATCCTATCCCCAGCTCCTATCTGTACATGCTTAATGCTGACATCTGAGAATCGTTCAAGCTGGGGTCACACTCTGGTGGCTGCTCAGCAAATGTGACAAAGGATGACCAGCATGTCCCCCTCCTCTCTGCGGTTTTCCTGAGTTTCTGGTTCAGCGTTCACATACCCAGGATGAGCATTGAATGACTTACTCATAGAACTCTGCTGCCGGTGTGAACTTGTACTTGGAGTACTTCGTGTGGTTGCCCAGTACGGAGCCATTGAGGAGCTTGGGGTCAGTGCAGTTGGGGCTGTTCCAGGCATGGCCACATTCAGTCCAGGGCAGGTTGAAGGTGAAGGAGGAGAAGAGGTAGTAGAGTGACCATGCAATGATGACGTTATAGTAGAAGCCAACGTAGAGTGCGATGAGGATCACAGCATAGCCGACTCCTGCCAAAGGGACAGAGAAACCCAGTCCCGGAGCTGCCTCCGCAACTCTGCACTAGTCAACCCCTAAAAAACCACAAAGGCCATTGACTAGATCCTGACTCAAGGCAACCCCATATGTATCCGAGGAGAACTGTGTTCCATAGGGTTTTTCAATGACTATTTTTTGGGAAATTGATCTCTCTTCTGAGGCTCATCCAGGTGGACTTGAACCCCTAACCTTTCAGTTAGCAGCCCAGTGTGTTAAGTATTTGTACCAGCCAGGGACTCCTTTAGGAATGACCTTTAAGTATTCTTGGAAGTTTGGGTGAGGCTAAATCTTCCACTTTTCTGATTTGGCCATGGGCACATGACTGAGCCTGGCTAGAGAACAGCTGCTTCCCCACAGCTACACAAAGTGGTTTGTGGACGGACATACAATTCAAGTCAAACCAATAAGTCTTCTCTGAGACCATTACTGAAGCTACTAATGTAAGGATGTGTATGTTTGTTTGTGGTTGTTGTTAGACGTGTTAGGATTTAAGCCTGGAGCTACGGACAGCCGTCTCTGCTAGTCCTTGAGATGACAGTACCAGACTTGAGACTTACAGAGAGAGCAAGATCCCAGATGTGCTAATATACAAGCAACTGGATTAAGCTAATGTGCCAGACAGCAAAGCTGTTTGAACTGCAAGGTCGGTGGTTCAAGCTCACCAGTCGCTTCTCAGAAACCCTATACCAGGTCGCTATGGGTCGGAACCGAGTCGATGGAACTTAACAACAACAACAAAGCCAACCAGAGACCCCTGGCCTTTAACATAAGCCAATAAATTCCCTTTTATATCTAAACAGATAGCCATCGAGTCAATTGTGACTCATGTTGTTGTTGTTGCTAAGTGTCATCGAGTCGGTTCCGACCCCTACAACCCTGTATAGGGTTTCCAAGGAGCAGCCGGTGAGCTTGAACGTCCGACCTTGTGGTTCAAAGCAACTTTACAGTCCAGCGCATGAACTCACAGTGCCACATCAGGACTCATGGTGGTGGTGGCAGTGGTGTGCTGTGGAGTCGGTTCCGAATCATAGTGACCCTGAATAGGGTTTCTGAAGCTGTAAATCGTTACAGGAACAGAAAGTCTCATCTTTCTACTGCAGGACAATTGGTAGTTTCGTCAACAGCTGACCTTGAGGTTAGCAGCCAGATTCATAACTACTATGCTACCAGAGCTCCTTAGCAACCCTATATAGGGTTTTTAAGACTATAAATCTTTATGGGAGCAGACAGCCTCATCGTTCTCCTAAGGAACAGCTAGTAGGTTTGAACCATCAACCCTGTGGTAAGCAGCCTGATGCCTAACACAAGTCGGTGTGATATGGTGTTCTAGCAATTAAACGAAACAGTCCTAACACACAAACTCCGTAAGCCTCTTGTGATCACTGAAAGACTGAGCACAGGGGAGGTGCTCAGGATATCCACGCCACCGGGACAGTGGCCCATGGGAGTCACACTGGCCCTTGTTGCCACCTGGACCCAGTTCTCTGTTGTTGTTGTTGTTGTTAAGTGCTGGTGAGTCGGTTCTGACTCATAGCAACCCTGCATAGGATTTCCAAGGAGCAGCTAGTGGGTTTGAACCGCCAACCTTGTGGCTTGCAATCCATTGCTGATCCTAGCATGCCATCCCGGAGTCACCAGTGCTTGAGAAACACCAACTTTTACTCTGCTGCTGTTGGTGGTGGTGGGTCAGTTCTGACTCACAGCGACCCCTCTTAGGGCTACTTTCTCCAGTTGTGCTCTAAGTCCTAAATACAAGGGGCTTTAAAAAAAAGTCCCCAGAAAAAAATGGAATTGAAAAATAAGTCAATTTTTCCACAAACTCTCGTACAAAGATGGCCAAAGATGTTTCATCTACGCCCCAACTGCAATTGATTTACGGTGGCTGTTGTATTAAGGGTTATGAGGCAAATTTCTGGTGAAGCAGGAAAGAATCCACAATCAACTCATTATGTCTGCCACAGGAGTAAGAAGAGAGGGTAGTGGCGTGCATGCTGTGTACTTCAGACACTTCTAGAAGTATTTCCCATACTGAAACACAAATTCTTTCCGGCCACCAAGCTGCTGGGACCCAGGTTTCCAGACTTCCTAAGCCCACTTGTGCGTAGTGGCCACTTACCCTAGTCAAGTCCCTGTGAATCCTACAAGAGAGATGGTTGGCTTTAACTCCACCCTTGGGAGTCGATTCTCCAGGGGCCCCAAGAGCCAACCTTACCTCCCCAGACCCGTTGTTTACCTTTGAAGAATGGGCAGATCTTCCACACTGTGGCTGCCCCCTCCCGGTTGTACTGGCCCAGAGCCAACTCCATGTAGAAGAGAGGCATCCCAGCAATGATCAGGAACAGCGTGTAAGGGATCAGGAAGGCACCTAAGAACACAGAGGCAGGATGTCACCATCTCCACCCTACTCAGAGCACCTGGATGAGAGTCTGTGAGGGCAGTGAGGACCCTCACCCATCTACTCAGCTTTCCCAGGGATGTTTTGTGCTAGGTAAAGAGGAGACATGAAGAACAATTAATACTAATAATTACAGTAATCGTTGCAGTAACAGTAGTAATAATCAGAGTCATTAGCATAATAATGAAATTCAGTGATTAAAATTCAGTGACTAAAGCTACATAGGTTTGTTTCCTACAGGATTCTCAGTACAGTCACAAGTTGTAAAACTCTGAGGAAAACTGCAATCTTATTTACCAACTGTATTAAACACAGACCTTTTCTCTAATGGAAGATCATTCTGGGGAAGGCTAATCTAATCCAAACTGTGCTTTTACAGGTGTAAAAATTGAGACAAGAGAGGAAGACAAGCGCCCAAAATTATGTCTGATCGAGTTTCTACATTTGTCATTGTTGGATCCCATCGAGTGGATTTCAACTCATAGCAACCCCATGCGTACAGAGTAAAACTCTTTCTTCATGGAGTTTCCAAGGTCTTTCAGAGCAGACTGCCTGCCTTGTCTTCAAAGGTGCTTCTGGGTGGGTTTGAACTGCCAACCTTTTGGCTAGCGGTCTAGTGCTTAACAGTTTATTTTAAAGCCCCATGAGATTTCTCAAACATTGTCTCCCTGGTCTTAAGTCTCACAACAGATTGTAATATTATGAAATAATATGCTGAAATAGCTATATGCCTCTGGCAGGAACCAAGGGGCAGAGAGGTGCGTTTAATTGCTAGTGTTTGCATTGCTAAGAAGAGAGAGAGCAGGATTCGCATGCAGGTCTTCTGACCCATCAAACACATCAGGTACAGAAAGAAGGCTGAGGGCAAAGGAACCTCAGGTCAAGTTTCTGATGAGGGAAGATGTTCACCCAGACCATCACAGATGACTCTCAGGTAAAAGGTGGAAGCAACTCACTCCTGGGAGAATTCCCTGTTGAATTAGACATGCCCAAGTTTCAGAGACAATTCTCACTCTGCCTGGCAGCCTGGGGCAAGTGTAGCAGGCTCTGATGCTTCCAGGTGACTCATTGGGATGCAGGTCACAGAGGCCCAGGCTGCAAACATGACTACCAACTCCCTTTCCTGACACAGCGGGGAGGGGCCAGGTCATATCCAAATACCTCGCATCATCAGCCTTGGAGACTAAGCCGTATCTGACCAGCCCACATCAGGAAAATGCAGAGCCCAGGATCACACTAAATGATCAAATCATTAACAGTGACAATAAATCTCAGAAGTTCACACTTACTGGTTCATGTAAGGTCTCACTCAGTCCTCACAACAACCCTAAGATACGGCAGTGCTCATTTTGCCCATTTTAAAGATACAGAAACTCAGGCTCCAAGTCAGCAGGTCACAGTCAGCCAGCAACTCAGACTGTCAATTTCCAATTTCTTCCCAGGACTCTCCTTAGAGAGCCCAGGACATGGGGACAAAACAGGCAGTGATGGCCCTATATGCCAAGGCCCTTTCCTTCGTCAGCTGGAGAAAAGCTGGTGGGGTGGAGAGGTGGAAAGAAACTACTGGAAGGGAGCTCCTCTTCTGTGTCTAGCAGGGCACTGGGCACCAAACATCTGTGATTTCCTGTACCAGGAACCGTCTGGGCCTATGCATTTTTCAGAGGAGGAATCTGAGGTTTGGAGAAATGAAGTGACTTGACCAAGCTCTCACAGCTGCTTAGTGATGGATCTAGGATTTAAGCCCACATTTAGCCTGATTCTAAAGCCCCCAACCATTCCCAACACATCCTGCACACTGGAAACCATTCCTCTCGAGGTGAAGGACACGGGTCTGCTTGAGATGGAGATGGGGAGGGGAGGGGCAAGGCATAGGGAATTCTGGGACTGAAGCTCTAGAGCAGTCAAGCCACCCATCTGTTGGCCACACTCTGGCACAATCCCTGACTCCAGGTGGGACTTCTTTGAAATGACCATAAGCCAACCTTTCTCTCCACCTCTCATTTCTTGCTTTCAATCTCTTTTCTTCTGGATCTTCTACACAAAGAGGATTGGTCTAACACCCAAACCCATGTCTATCCACATTGATGCTGGTAGTGGTAGTGCTGATAGTGGGGTTAGTGAAAGAACGCCTGGTATATGGCAAGTCCTACTAATGTAGTCGTTATGAATCAGGCTGCTTACCTCACAGTCGGCAGTTTGAAACTACCAGCAGTTCCGCGGGAGAAAGATGAGGCAGTCTACTCCCGTAAAGCTTTATAGCCTCGGAAACCCTATGTAGGGTCACTATGAGTCGAAACCAACTCCACGGTACTTAACAACAACAATTCTAAGTTTTGGGAGAAAGATAAGCTTTCTGCTCCTGCAAAGATCTATACAGCTTTCAACAGCACTTACCAACAACATTAAGTTTTACATAATTGCTCATTTAAATCCATCCATGAGAGACAATTATCACTAATCCTATTTTCTACCACCTGTCTGTCAGTCTGTCATACTATAGTGACTTGCATGTTGCTGTGAGGCTGGAAGCTATGCCACTAGTATTCCAAATACCCATGGTGGAGGAGTTTCAACAGAGCTTCCAGACTAACAGATCAAGAAGAAATGCCCAGCGATCACTTCTGAAGATTAGCCAATGATAAGCATATTAAGAAAGGTGTGCAACAAGGTTGTATTCTTTCACCATACTTATTCAACCTGTATGCTGAGCAAATAATACGAGAAGCTGGGTTCTATGATGAAAAACGTGGCATCAGGATTGGAGGAAGACTCATTAACAACCTGCGATATGCAGATGATACAACCTTGCTTGCTGAAACTGAAGAGGGTTTAAAACATTTACTGATAAAGATCAAAGAGCCCAGCCTTCGATATGGATTACATCTCAATGTCAAAAAAACAAAAATCCTCACCACTGGACCAATAAACAACATTCTTACTAACAGAGAAAAGACTGAAGTTGTCAAGGACTTCATTCTTCTTGGATCAACTATCAACACTCACGAAAGCAGCAGTCAAGAGATCAGACGACGTATTGCATTAGGCAAATCTGTTGCACAGGAACTTTTTAAAGTGTTGAAGAGCAAAGATGTCAGCTTGAGGACTAAGGTGCGCCTGACCCAAGCCATGGTATTTTCAATAACCTCATATGCATGCGAAAGCTGGACAGTGAATAAGGAAGATCATAGAAGAATTGATGCCTTTGAGTTATGGTGTTGGAAGAGAATACTGAAAGTGCCCTGGACTGCCAAAAGAACCAATAGATCTGTTTTGGAAGAAGTGCAGCCAGAATGCTCCTTAGAGGCCAAGATGGCCAAACTTTGTCTCTCATACTTTGGACATATTGTCAGGAGGGAACAGTCGCTAGAGAAGGATATCATGCTTGGTAAGATGGAGGGTCAGAGAAAAAGAGGAAGATCCCCAACAAGATGGTTTGGCCAGGTGGCAGCATCGATGGACTTAAGTGTGGCAACAGTAGTGAGGTTGGCCCAGGATCGGACATTGTTTCGTTCTGCTGTGCATAAGGTCGCTATGAGTCGGTGCCGACTTGATGGCACCTAACAATAACAACAAGCGTATTATACATCATAACAGAATATTTTCTGATATAGTGTTGGATGATGAGCCCCCAAGGTTAGAAGGCACTACACAACAGATACAACCCTGGGCTCAAACATGCCAACAATCGTGAAGAAAATGCAGGACCGGGCACCATTTTTATTCTCTTATTTATATGGTCACCATGAATCTGCATCAATTAACTAATAACAACAGCTCTATTTTACAGATGAGGAAACTGAGGCTTGGAAAGGTCAATTTGATTGGCCAAGCTTAGTAACTATGGAGCTTGGCTGCAAGCCTGAATCTCTCTGACTTCCATTTTGCCTCTCACTGATACTCACCCTTGAGGGCCTGGGACCAGGGAGAGGAGAAGTAGATGCTTTCAACAGTTAACAAGCCTGAAGACCAAAGTCTTCATAAGAGATCATATTGTTATCATAGCCCAAGGGACTATGGGAATGAAAAAAAACAGGAGTCGCGGCACAGACCTTGGCACCGAGGTTTGCCTCTGGTGAGTAGATGCTATTTCTACATGGCCAATGAACAGCAACATCAACCAATTAACTAGGTGTCTCATCTTGGCCAATTTTCTCAACTCACAACCTCTGAGTGGCACTGCCAACAAGTCAGTGAGTTGTCCAGTTTGGTCATCGCCTGGTCTGCCCCTCCCTCTGGTGGAAGGCAACAAGTTGGCAGGGAGTGTCCCCCTCGGGGAGAGAAGTGGAGGTGGGTCTGTCTGCACATGTCTGCCCTGTGATCGTGTTTCAGAGACGCGCCACCAAAGCTGAGGGTGAAATGGATCAAGAAGACTCAAGGATCTGAAATGGCTGAGTGCAAATGAAACACAGAGACCTGCCCAATGGCCGTGTCTCCATCTACGAAGACTCAGCCTCCTTAGCTGAGGATACAGAGGAAGGCAGGGCTGAGGAGTCAGACGGGACTTTAGGGGCTTCTGAACTCAACTGGTGGTGCAGATGGTCTGCAATTGGCTATAAGCCTAAAAGGGGCTCTGGTGAAACAATGGTGAAGTGCCCAGCTGCTGATGAAAAGGTTGGTAGTTTGAACCCACCAGGAGCTCTGCAGGAGACAGGGCTGGTGATCCACTCCTGTAAAGGTTGGTGGAGAAAGCCCTATGGGGCAGTTATACTCTGGCACATGGGGTCACTGAAAACTGAAATTGACTTAACGGAACCAAACAATAGCACAGACCTAAAACCAGCAGTGTTGCGGAGTGTGACCTGGGAGGGGGTGCAGAAAGGAGAGATCCCCTGAGACCTCCCTCAACCAACTTCCCGGGTTACTGCGGGTAAAAGTCCATAAGGAATTCTGGTCCCACCATAATATAAACAAGAAGCAGAAATTCACAACACTTTTCCCTCAGTGCCCTCAGTTCAGCTGAGGACTATCAA